CATGGTGAGTGGCACTGGTAGGTCTAGAGAGGAAATTAATGAACATTCTAGCAACAATCTTCCCACATTTGGTACCAAAGAAAGACTTGTGGTTACAAGACTCCAACCTCAAGAGCATTTCTTATCTCTGAATCTGGTGTCTAAGGATAATAATATAGCCAATCGACATGTGTATCTGTCATTTCTGCCTGCCCAACATCCATCTCCCCTTTTTGGTGACAATGCCTTGATTTTCCCTTGATGACCATGCCTCCCCTCCTCCTCCCCATGTTTGAGTTTGCATGAGGCCGACCCCATCCTTGGACCTCTGGCCAATTAGCATTGTTCATCTCTCTGACCAACATGATTGGTTCAAGAATGGGTACTTGACCCAAGCCCACATCCCAAAACTTAATATAGAACTATTCAGAATGCTGTTGGTGATATAAGAGGCTAAGATGTAAACCCAAGGCTGCCAGTAGCCCTTTGCCCACCACAAGGGAAGAGGATGTTCCTCAAAAGAGAGAGTGAAACTGAGCTTCCTTCACATTGTTTGAAGCCTTGACCCCTGCTGTGATTCGAGGAGCTCTATCTGGGATTTTAAGTTGTATACCCCAGCTGCCTTAGCTAGGATTCCTCTAGGAGCAGATAGGGGTTCAGGTGCAAGTGGTTTAGTTGAGATGTGATCCCAGGATGCATGGCAGGGGCACAGGAGAGAGTGACAGGAAAGGAAACCAGACAGCAAAAGATGTGTGTTATCAAGCCAGCTGCCACTGTGGGCACCTGGAGCTTAATCCTGCCAGGGAATCTCTGGGAACCAGCGTGAACACTTGCCTCGTTATCCCACCTGAGGGCCAGAGGAGCTAAGGCATTGATCTCAAAATCCTGCGTGTCATTGCTCAAGGACAGCTCCTGGGAGTGTTAGTTCCCCAGCACTTAGTGGCCTGTAGCAGTAATAGAAATCCCTTAGGCGAAGAAACTCAAGTGCTGACAGGAGGAAGTCTGCAGGGAGCACTGAAGTGAAGTGAAGTACAAGGG